AACAGGCGAGTGAATAGCGGTCGAATGTATCCATTTCCTCCCACTCGAAATGCCGTCCGATCATCTCGTCGCCAAGCCAGACGAGAGGGAACTATGCAGTGCGTTGCCGTTGCATAGCGTGCTACGTGTCTTGCACCCGAGAATCGGAGGAGAGCTTGGGCACACCGCCATCCTCGGCAACAACGGGCAGCAACCTGAACAAGGAGAGTTGTTGTTGACGTGGCCAACCAGAGAGAAGGATCAACTGAAGAGGCCAACTCTTCCATACTTGACAAAAATAGTGCAGCAATATTATCTCCAGAATGAAGAGTTGCTGCACATCGTACGTGCCTGTCACTACAATATCCACACGCTCGCCCTCAACCGCCATTTCCCCCCTGTCCCCCGCTCCCTTGTCTCTTGGTGCCGGAAGAAGCGGGATCGATCGATCGTGTCTGTAAAAAATCACCGAATCATCCACGACCTGAAGGGTCTTTCTCCCACAAGAAAACACAAGCTATCGGTGACCGCCCGTTGACCTTGAGAAACTAAAGCGCACGACCGATGAAAATCCTATTAATGCTTTGGGTATCTCTGCCTAGCGAAACCAAACCACAACCGCCGCCGAGGAGCTCCCCGACAAAGCTACACCGGGTTTTCCGGGAATTTCACCGCGTTGTTCGAAGCAATTTGAGGATAAACGAAACAACGTATTGGATCTATCTCTCACCACGTCGCGGTTGCGCCGCAGGTTCACCAACTGGTCCCCCGACGTCGACGGAGCTGCGGCCGGGTACCGGTTCTCCGACCCCGCGTTGCCTTCGTTCGACATTCCAGAGGCCGTGCCCAACTCTCCCGGGGACGTCCTCTTGACAACGAGTAACTCCGTGGTCACCAAGACCGGAGCAACGACGGAGACCTACTGCAACGGAGATTCGGCGGAGTACTCGGGAGAGGACGGCTACTGGTACAACGAGGTGAGGAAACATCTGATAGAAGGACCATCACCATGTACATCACCATGACTGGGAGGAAGAAGACTCGGTCCTATATTAGGGCTATTAATTTGGCATCATCGGGGGTGTTACATGTTTCGCACAGGTTGGTGTAGTCCGATGCCCAGAGAGTAATGTTCGTGCTTCGACGGTGCCAAGGACCGAAGCAAGGGGACGGAACCATGTCAAGAGAAGGAACCGTATCGAGAGAGGAGGGTAGACGAGGCGAGTTGATCGAAGCTTCCCTGATCACGAAGCCGCTATGGACGCCACCGCGAAAAGGCAGCGGGTGAAATAAATTACACACGCTCCATTTGAGAGGAGCGAGATAGCCAAGACGACGCGACGTTGCCGGTCACAAACACCCACCACGCATGTGTTGGCTGCGAACCAACCAGTTCGCATAGCTTGCTGACCTCCATAGCCGCGTGGGTATTTGAGACTGTTCTTTCCGCCTCACTCGAGAGCCGCGCTCTACGCCATGCCTGCCTGGTGGGAGCAATGACAGCTTTTAGAGGCTCGCTTCTGGTAGCCTTTCACCTACGTCCTCCTCGTTACTCTTTTCTACTCGGTCGTTCTTCGCTCTGCTCTTACGTTCTCCTATTCGCTGTACCTCTGGCGGGAAACACCGCAGTTTGTCAAGTCTGACGGGGAGACCCACGAGCTCAAGCACGTCTTCTACCCGACCCAGAGAGACCTGTACGCAGCCACGATACAGGCCAACTGGGAGCCTAACCTCCGGGGACTGTTGGAGAACAGGATCGTCCGCCTGCAGGTGTACTGCACCAACGACGAGAGGGCGGAATACCTCTACATCCGAGTTGGCGGAGAGTCGGCGACCTGCGATGACATCGACGACCTTTGCACGGTAAGCTGGGACCCCATTCCCTCTGGAGGACCTCGTACTGCCGTTAAGTTTCAGTTGTTGAGACGGTTGTGTTTCTTCCATTTGCTTCGTCAGGGGCAGCTTTACATACACCGATTTCGCCGTTTTGGAGGCGGTCTTCCCTCGGGCCGGCCTCGACAAGGTCTCACTCACGACGAAGTAAGGGCATGCAGCGTGTTCTCCCGTTGGCACACGACCACCGCGATACCACCCTAGCTGTGTCGAATATTGGTCAGCCCTGCCCTTCGGTGTAAAGTACAGAGCAGAGCATGTTGAACAGGTCGCCATCATAGTGATAGGATGGGTGTAGTCTCGGAAAAAAATCTCACGTAGCAGTAATTATTATTTTTTTCTCGCGAAGACATGAGCCTACCCACCCTTGCAGTAAAGCTCGAAGCGTACTCCAAAGGGCAATTTTCCGAGCTACGGCATCCAGATATGAGTAGGTTCACCTTGCGCATTATAACTGCTTGTGGACGCACCATCGCTCAGTAGCGCTTCAACTCATACTGGCGATGTCATCTGTTATGTTTCGTGACAGGCATGCAACGTTTTTGTGTCGAAGTGAACGTTTTGTATCGAAGTGTTTGTCGCCCTTGACATGGAGTCGAAAGAAAGAAAGGTTGCTCACATTAGATCAGGCCCTGGCGCGTATGATCTAGTGCTTGTCTACCTCGTAGCGTGACATCACTGATTTCCGGGGCTACGGGAGGAATCTCTGTTTTCTGCTGAATACACGCGTCCGGCACCAAGACCCCGTGCTCTTTGAAACTAACGCAAATCATCATGATCCATGTCTAGAAAACTCATGAGTCGCAATCTTCAATGTTATCCCACTCTGATGCTTCGTTACTTTCGCTTCTCCCCAGATCCGCCGGGTATCCTTTCCCAACCTAACCCCCGTCAAGAAACATATGATCCGCGGCTTTTCTCCCCCCCCCCAGCCCTCTTCCTCACCCCTCTTGGCTCGTTTGTCACCGCACCTGCCCGTCGTGATAGGAAGTCGATGGCGACGGGGACGGTGCTCTTCAGCTGGCTCCCGTGTTCAACCTAGGTGCTGCGGCGCTGTCCGCGGCCTACCTCTTGTGGCCCTCGACCGTACACTAGGTCGAGAAACACATAGCGTTTTTCTGCCCTTTCAACCTGAACAAAAGGCCATGCGTGGCGTCTGTCTTCAACTCAGTTGAGTCTTCTCTCGCCACAACCCTATGGAGTCATCATATGGGTGAAATCAATAAGGTGCCGGGGCCGGGAAATGCCTGGTTGGCAGTAGTGCTTAACATTTCTGCGCATGGATCGCATGTTGCTACTGCAGCAGTCGTTGAGTGCACGGTGCTTCGCAGCACCACGATGCAATGCAGTGGCTGCAGGTATAGGACACAGCCGTTACATGCTAGCTGATGAGGGTTATCCAGCCTGACGTGCCACTGGCAGGCGGCTTCGATGTGTTCACCCCCCCCGACGATCACTCACCCACCCACCCCTTTCACTTGGTACTGTTTGTTATTAATTTAGCACACGCATTTCTAGTCGCGACACGCGCGCTCTCTTCAAGTTCGCGGTGTGGCACTTCCCTTTAGCGGGATTTTTGTTAGGTTTCGTTTTGTGGGCTCTGCTTAGTACGCAGGCGACGGCACGGAGGGAACGCAAGAGTTAAACAGGTAGCTGTGGTTTCCATCCCCAACATCACGGTATGTTATTCGCTGTGCCGTCTACTTATGCTGTGTGTGGGCGAAGCCTACCCCCCTCGTCATAAGGACTGGACAGTCTTAACTGGATACCCGAGTCTGGGTCAGCATGAGCATCAAGCAGCGTCGTTGTAGGTAACTTTGAAGGGGAGCTCTCGTGCATGCTGGGGTCCTGAAGAGGATAGGCGGGTCGTGGACTAGAATCATGCGGAAAGCTCGTTTGCACGTGTGGCGCACAAGATTCTGTGGCCAACCAAATTCTGTTGCATGGTAGCGGAGGACGCGTTGGTGGAGATGCGTTTAGCATAGAGAGGGGACTGTAGGCGTCGGTGTCATGAGCATGGTTGGCAACATCAGTAAGTTCCCGCCTGTTTCGATCTTCCAAGCCGATTTCTTGGCAATAGAAAACGTGACACCTCAAGGTTAAACAGAGGGCACACGCGGCTTCCAGGATCGAGTGTCCATGGCATCGGGTTGTGATGGTATTGTATTGTTACTTGACGTCTAGAATCTGCCGAGTCAGTTCGGTCTAGCTGTGGGTGGAGATGCCATAATATTCAAGGGTTGACCCCAGGTTTTCGGTTCCATGGCGACCAAGGCTCAATGGGTGACCTCGGTGTGCTGTAGGCGCTGGGACCGGCGAGAAATTGAGTTTCACCCTAGACATACATTTAAGTATGCGCCGAGACTTGCCAGGGCACCGAGACCGTCACATCAAGAGTTCGTGTTGGACAGCCTCGAGTACAATCTTATCTGTATATTACGTGTATCGACGCAGCGGAGTCGATGGCCGGGTATGCAATATCCAAGTCTACGCTGTCGTTCAATGTGATTCTGATCCCTTTGTTAGACTTCATATGACCGAAGGAGGCAGGTTCCTCTGGAAGGGCATTTGGTTACCGACGGGCCTCCCCAATCGGGACTTCTAGCTGAAACGGAGATCGGGTGCTAGATCTCGGAAGGGACCTCTAGCAACCCCAGGTCGATCAAGCACGGTGGTATCGCTTTTCAACAACGGATCCCCCTTGCATGTTGGCTCTTGTTCGCTGTAGAGAGCCGAAGCTGCTGAAACTTGGGGAGGGGTCATGACTTGCGATGTGCCTTACCGAGGCATGCTTCGGGCGTCGTGCGACGTGCACCGTTGCTCGAGATAGGCTTTTCAGACCCGAGCGGTCAAGGGGTGGGCTATGCGAATAAACGCGACACGGACAAACAAAGACTATTGTCCTGGAGAGACCCAAGCTCTAAAAAAACTCTTGGCTTGGATAGACCGCTCTCACGAGCTTGGGAATCATCACCTGTTTCTGGGTTGTGCAGCGCCCATGTGTGTGACATCAAAAATCAAAATATTGTAGGATGCAACAAGAACTATAGGTCGCATAGGCACGCAGGGATTGATTGGTTGTGTGCGCACTTTCATCTCGTCCGTTCTCTCTGCATCAGATTGAGCCGTAGAAGACTAGGTGATTCTTGTCCGTCTATCAATATACCGCTTTCTCATGATAAACCGTCGTCGTTACAAGCCGCTCCGTATCATGATAACGACAAAACCACCTTCAAAACAATGTTACCGAGAACCTCTCTCTGCCAATTTGGGTGACAACCTCTGTGTTGTATACGGTATGTCTCAAATTCAAGCATAATGCGGCAGGATGCACTTTCATCCCGTCGTGCCGCCAAGCGACTTAGTCCAAAACTTCGCAACAGGAAAACAGGGAGCGTCAAGCGAAAGTAAGTACAGTGAATAGGACCCAAACAACCAATTGATGTTGTTGCATGGCCGCAGCACTCCGAATCTATCGACCGCATCGCAGGATTACGCCCTTGCACGCAATGATAGGCATTCTTGCTCGCAGCAAATACAAAGCTACATGCACCACCAGCGACGACGACGACGACGACGACGACGACGACGACGACGTAGATTACTCCAAATAAATCCGTGGGGTGGCAAAACAAACATGCTGGCGTTCAACGGTGATAACGAGAGCTGCGCCACTTCGCCCGCTCTCTCATGTTCGGCGACTTCGGAAAACCTCCCCAGGCGCCATCGATGGCCGTATTACTTGGACCCCGAGCATCCCCTTGTACCCGAACACCAAGACGAAGCCCGCCTTTTTTTCGACGCCAAGATGAATCGCCCGATTGAAACGTAATGGATCGCCAGGGGAGGGTCGTTTTGGGGGTGGGAACAACGCGTGGCTTGTCAGAGAAGGCACGAGTGTTGGTTGCGTGTACGAGGAGCTCGTGAAAATGGCTGAAACAAGGGCGTCCGATTGGTCGTACACGCAGGCGGTGCATCGCCATTTCAAGATTCTGATACCAATCCAGCACGAGCCTATGTGGCCCCTGAATTTTACAACCCAGCGGCGTGTTGTACATGGAGCATCTTCAGGGCAAACATGGCGGCTATGTCGAGGAGCCGCAACCACGGCTTCAGAATTACGGCCATCGGTTAGTGTCGTGAGGCAACTTTGCAGAAAAAACTGCTAGCGCAGTGGGCCGCACTGAGTTGTACACGGCGACGATCGCACCAGCAGCAACGACGACGAAAACAACAGTATAGCTGCAACAGCAACCAACGCTACGAAAAGTCCATACCAACACCACCAACGTCTACAACACAAAAACCATCGAATGGCAACACCATTTTACGCACCATCGTCCTCAGAGCCGCACCACAAACTGCTATTTATGTCTTCTACGCCGGCGGTATCCACGACTTACCTCCGGATCGTACTCCTGGCAGCGCTGTATGATCTGCATCTGATCGGCCGGTTTTACCCTTGACGAGCGCTCCGTCACTACTTCCTCCAGGGAACAGAACACCGCGTGGCAGGGGGCCCCGTCGTGGCCTTTGTTGCTGCTGCTGAGCCCCATGTCCACGTTCACCTACATTGGCGAGAATGGTTGAGAGACATGCGGGGCCCGGGGCGTGTGGGGATCGGTTCGTGCATGATAAAGCCAGAGGAGGTATTTTCGTGTATGTTTAGTGGTGCTACGGTTAACTTTCCTGCCGACAAAAGCGTGCACACTAATGGATGGCGAATGTATTGTAGAAATGCCGCAGTCAAGACTTTTATTTGTGTGGGTGAATTGTGAGTATGAAGGTATGATCGTGTGCAAGATCGTCAACACATCGTACATAGCTGGGACATCAATAAAAAGACCCTACCGGCTGACATCTTACAGGAAGCTGTGTTCGAAACCGGCAGTGGCAGCACCATACACTCCTTTCCCATAGTGCATACACTAGATCTACGACACGGAAACAGTCCATCGCTGCATGATGTGCTGGTGCTCGGCAGCGGGCTTCGCTGTATAGCAGTAGACATACCACCATTACATCGGTCTGCAGCGTTTCCCTCTGAAAGAAGTCTATTTCTTGAGAACTACAATAAACTACTTGGCCAGAGCTCAGACTCACAAAGATGACCCCACGCCCTCGATCAAGGTACCCCTCGTAAGCTAGCGAGCACAACATTTCCCCCTCTTCGCCAAGCACCCTCAGCATCTCCTCTCTCCACTCCCGCTCGATCGCCTCAACAACGATGCCGCGGCTGCCCCGGATCATGGCCTCCAACTGCTCCGCCTCGCGTTGCATCACATCGACCTCGTCCTCGTTGTCACCGTGCTCGACGTCCTCGAAAGGAGACGAGAAGCGGACAACATTCGGTATTGGTCCTGTTGCTCTTGCACGACTGCTGCCGCTGCCTAGGGGATCGGACGAGGACGACACATGTCTCAATCTGACATGCGCCGCTGGCGCTAGCGGCACAACTAGCGGGCGGACCCCTGTAAACGCGCGGCAGGACGCCAGGGTCGAGGCGAGTAGCACCGCCGTCCCGCAGAGCTGCATCGTACGGTACACGGAGATATGGGAGAGGAGCAAGGACAGGCTGGTGTGCAGCAGCGTGCGGTAACGGTGGGTGCTTAGTTTCCGCGATGCCGCGCTGGGTGACAGTCCCGAGCCGTGCTTGTGATTTTTTTTCTGCGCTGCTTGCCCCCTCTCGCACAAAATATAAAAAGAGGCATGCGCTCCAATGCAATTGGAATTCAGAGAGCGAAGCACCAAACAGCTCCAAACAGCAGTAGTTCAGACGTTCAGACAATCAGACGCCTGCAGCGAGCGGGACGCCTACGGCAAGCATGTCTGACGCGGAGGAGAGCGACAGCAACATCCCCTACTTCTTCCCAGACGAGCGCCCCATCCGCTTCACGCTGGAAACTTTTCCCCACTCAGGTTAGAGGTGCTCCTCCTGTCATTCCGCCGCAGGAGGTGTTTCACGGACGCAAGGGAGGGCCATGGCGCCCTCGCGCGACACACCGGCGGCAGTGACACACAAGTAGTTCATAGCTCTCACCTGGCCATACGCGTGTGCATGTCCGGAATACAGCGCGGTTTTACTCATAGTAAGAGGGCCTACGTAGACTATACATATGTACACACAGGAGCTGTGATGTTGTGATGTTCGTGAGCGGCTCCTGGACAACGCAGTGTTGGCAACCGGTGACCGGTTGTACAAGCCCGCTCTCGGCACCCTGTACCAGTCGTGCACGGGTGCTTGGTTGCACTGAGAGCTAGAGTCAGCCCGAGCTTTCGGCGCCCAATCCGTTCACCCGACGTTACGTGCGGCAGAAATGTGTACCGTATATGACACAAGATAACACACCCCCTGGACCGATTTTCAAAGCTCGATTACTCCACGACGAAGATGATGCATAAACGAAACGATACATTTTCGAAAAGCTCTCGACGAGATGGTTTCAACGCCGCCATTTTCGGCGCTGTGACTGTTCCTGCAGTTGAGAAATCGAGCTTCGAAAATTGGTCAAGGGGGTGTGTTATCTTGTGTCATATACGGTAGTTTTTCTGCGGTATTACTGTACAGTCTACATGCTGTTTGTGTAGACTGCACGTACATGCACATCTAACAAGTACGGGCATGGTGCTACCCATACTCCCGTTTTCTTGTGTTCGTTGCCATCACCATACTGTCGTCTCCATTTCCTGGCGTGTGCATGCCTCGACACACATGGAAACATAACCGTTTTCGTGGTGGCGTACCATATACTGTAGTGATATTTAGGTGTTCAATTCGATGGTGGTTGTGCGCCTGCCGTGGGATTCGGTCCACTGCCAACATCGCCCCTGGCAGTTTCCTCCCTTGAATTTTTCCCCGACGGCCATGACGACCCTGCCGTGATTAATGCTTAATGCGCTGCCCCGATGCCTGTACCAGCCGCTATCAAGAATGCCGCTGGGGCGCCGTGGGCATGTGCCGTTTCTCCGTTCACGGATGTGGGGGGCCCCGCGGACGGGGACGGACAGCGTGGACCCCCTCGCCCTGTACCGATCGACCGAGTCGCGAGATGCGAAGAGTGCTTCGCCTACATCAATAAGTTCAGCGAGTTCACCTCTAGGTTCGTGTGTGATGTTGGAGGGCGAATAGGCCTGTTCGGATAGGCCGACCAGCTGAACGTCCTGTGAAACGAACGGGCTTCGTTCGCGCATGAACACAGACAGAATTACGAGAAACAGACCGGAAGTGGAGCTGTCTTGACGTGCGGTCCAAGCAGGGGCATTGTGACCCCACGCTCTTGACGTAAGCTGGCATTCTCGCAGGTCAATGGCGCCTGCGTCGCACCCACCCATCCGGATGCCTCTTGTCAACCGAATTGCAGCAAGCACTGGCCCTAGCTCCATCCTCCAACGTCGGCTGTATCGTTCGTGCGCCGGACGTCGACAGGTTCTGGAAGTGTGCGCTGTGCGGACATATGAGCCGTATCACGCAGGAGCTCTCCCGCTACCGCGACAGGCGCACCTTCCGCTCCTTGCCGGAACTGACGCAAGAGGTTGGTGAACAGTTTTTCTTTTCTTTTTGAGTCTGAAGACGTGCTTTCCACCCGCTTCATCACCGTTGGGGTTCCCGAGGTCATTGATGGACGAAATCGGTGTTGGCTAAGGTGGCATGTTGGTGTTCGGCTAGCTCTACGGCACTGCGGTGTGGTTCTGTTTTTCGGAGTTTTGGCTCTGTGCACGACAAGCCCTTCCCGCCGGCGGACTTTCCTTTCTTGGAACCCTCCGAACAGCAGCACGGCCGACTCTGTTGGCCGGCGCTGTTGCTAGCGGTAGGAGACACGATGACGTCGACTATGCTGGAGAGCTAGACTTACCCCTCCGGGTCTAAGGGTTCAAGTTCATTACTCGTGCACCGTCCCTACACCTGAAACACTGGCAGACGGTGGAGTTCGAGCTACCTCTGGACAGCAAGGGAGCCATGATGCGAAACGGAGAGGTGAGGCGGTCTCCTCCCCCCCCGCCCTTTGTGCCCTTTCCTTGGAGTACCGAGTGTATTATTGAACATCACCTTCCCAGGAACACAGCAGTGTGCCAGCAACGTATCCACAGCGCCCGACTGCGCCGCCAGCCAATGCGCACGCGGCACTTCCACACGTAATAGCAAGTGTTACGGCGCTGTTGGGTGAGAAGTGGGGTGGTTGAATGACGGCATCACTCGGGCTTGCTAGCGCGACAGCTGTGGCAGATGTTTTCGCGTCGTACATATGCGAGTCAGGGCAACGGCGCCTGCTTTTGGCCGTATCCAGAGGGGGAACTCTCGATTGTTTTCCTCATCTACCAGAACATTTTTTCATCGCATGACTCCGAGATGGCGGAACAGGACGTGTGCCGGCACTTGCTCTTCGCGTTCATTACCTTGCGTTTCCTGCATGAGGGATGAGCTTATAACCCATGCCTTCCCAGGTGCTGCTCGAAAACGGGTACCTGGCTCAAGAGCCGGCGGCGGCCCGGCCGGTGGTGTACCTGGCCGTCGTCGATGAGTCTGGAGGGCCGGAATACCATGACGTCATGGCCGAGGTATTGTACGACGATTTGACAGTCCCCACGAAGCCTTTCTGCGTCCTCTACCGGCTTTTTTTATGTCCTCGTCAAGCTCATGAGATTTCAGGTGTGTCGTGCGCTTGTTACCCATGGGGGACCGGGCGAGCAGCCACACGGGCGCAGCATGACGAACTCACGTTGACGGAGAAGACAAATCAGCACCCGCAGTACGCTCCCGCCCGCGCGTGCCATATTTCCTGCTTTCCCGTCGAAATATGGGCGATGATTGGGGGGGGGGGTGTACTCATAGTCGTGCATGCCGTAGTCGTTAGACCATTGACCTCGCATCCCTACAAAGCCGGGACGGAGCACGCCGGGTTCTCACCGGACCAGGCTCTCACATCACCAAGCGCGAAGCGCCGTGAGATATTCGGCGAGTCGCATGAAGGGTGCGCTGCATCCTGCTAAGGGTGTTCGGCATCTTGTGCTTACTTCCTTGCGTACGGATGACAGCTGCGTTTGACTTATTTTATTTCCTGGTGCTTTCACTTCCAGAGACAGTTATAAGCACTGTGTAACTGCCTCGAGGGTGCTTGACCAATTAAACACAACGTGGTGGGATCATCCCCGTTGCGCGGAGTGAGGGTTCTCCACCCCGCACAACATGATCAACTCGGGGCGCGCAAACCGGACACGCACGCAAACGAAGGAACGAAACACTACGGGCCACAAAAATGAAAGAACGAAAGGAAAAATGATTGCTTGCCGTATAAAGTTGGTGAATGGAACGCGTTATTCACGCTCATCATCATCATCTCGCCTGCCTGCCTTGCTTGTTGTGGTGTATCTGTGTGTTCTCCCTCTCTCCCTCTTTTTCTCTCTTTTTCCCTCTTCACCTCTCTCTCTCTCTCTCCTCCTCTTTCCCTCTCCGTCTCCCTTTCCCTCTCTGTGCACCTTTCCCCCTCCTCGTTCTCCCTCCCCCCCTCCCTCTCCTTCCCTCCCTCCTCTCTTTCTCTCTCTCCCCTCCCCCCTTCCCTGCCAGGTGCTGGACACGTGCGTTCAACGCCTTCCCGACGATTGCCGGCTGGGCGTGGTGACAGTATCGGACCGGGTGGGTCTGGTCGATCTCACGGCACCCCTGCCGCACGTGCAGCTCGTGGACCTGGGGTCGGGAACGGGGGCCGGCGGCGGCGGAGGGCAGGGGACCGCTGGGCAGCCGGGCGGGGGAGGCGGGAGCTGGACCGAGCCATCGGTGAGCCTTTGTTTGGGGGGGCACGCGAAGATTGATGGGTAAGGTTTCTGAGTCAGGGGGGCGGTGGATTAGGTGACGTACGTGTACGTGCTCTTCCCGCATGAGTAGGCCGGTACTCTTGTCAATTGCGGACGTAGCGCGGGTGTTGTAGCAGGCGTCGCACCTCGACGACATTGGCATGGCGTTGTTTGCTTGAGGAGGCATGGGCTATGGATAACGCGTCATGAGATCTACGAACGGTTTCCCTAGGCGGTGCTACGGTTGGGTTTTGTTTGGTTTAGCTCGTCTTGCGATCGCCGGCTCATTTGTTTTGTACCTCGTGAGCTCCACGTTACTCCATTAGTTTTGCTCCAAGGAAAACATAGTCAAGGGTCATCTAACCTTAGTCGCAGCGAAAGTCGATTTCTGAATACCCCCCAATGGATGAACAACTGAGGCATGCCAAAAGTAAAAACGCCCCCGCGCTTGTCCGTGAGAACCCGGCGTGCTCCGTCCCGGCGTGGTAGAGATACGAGGTCAATGGTCTAACGACTACAGAATGCACGGCTGTAGGTATAAGTACCATGCTGCGCTCGCGCTTTGTCTTTGCAATGCAATCTTCTCGGCTTGGGGGGGTGTTTGTTCAGAGTGCCGTGGGTCTGTCGGAGGTGATGTCGCTGGAGGAGCTCTTGTGCCCAATCGGCGGGAACCGCGAGCTAATCTCGGCGAACGTCCGGGGGCTGAGAGGAGCGTGCCGTGACGCCGGTGCTGCGGCCACTGGTAAGGACCGGAGACTCTTCTGGCAGGAATAATGCCGTAGGTCGAGTAGGGATACCACACTCGCTGGACCGATTTTCAAAGGTCGATCTTCCCCCTACTGTATTAGAGCCCTTTGGAATACGAGTACTTTGAAAATGCGAGCGACGGTTCCAACAGTGTGTGTAAGGGAAAGCGACTGTGGAACCGGTGGTATTTCCATCCTCACACCTTCTTGCACACCGAATTGAACCTTCCCACGTGACATGAAACCTATCCCGGTACGATATCCACCGTGCAACACCGCCCCCGCCCCCATAACACACAGGCGAACGTCCCCCTCCTGTATCCCCCCCTCCCCAGGCCGCGCTGGAACCCGAGTAACCGGGCTAGCCGTCAAGCTATTGCTAGACCTCCTGCTCGGCGCTGCGCCCGGGCCTGCAGGCGCAGGTGCCACCTCTACCGCTGGGGGGGGGCGCGACGCCAAGGACGGCCGTGTCGGAGCCCCGGGAAGGAGAACATCGACGGGGGCCTCGGCGGCGGAACGCGGGGTGGGGGTGGGCGGCTTCGCCTTCGCCGGGTGTCGGCTGATGCTGTTCCTGGGGGGGGCGCCGGACAGGGGCCCCGGTGCCGTGGGAGTGGTGTCGCCGGCGGTGGCCGGGGGGGGTGGAGGAGACGTGGAAGCGGAGGGGTTCGTGCACGATCAGCTGTTTCGTGGAGAGGTGAGCCGCGTGGGGGGGGACAGAGAGACGGAGTTGGGATGGTTGCATTTCGCGCGGAGGAGATTGGCACCGGCAACTATTGTTTTCAATGCTGGGCGGGCGGGTAGAGCCGAGGAAAAAAATCTGCGCGTTGCGGTCTGCGTGGCTTGGCTGAAAATATGGCGGTCAAGGGTTTGGGTTCTTCTCTCACCTATAGATCCGGTCGCCCCGGTGGTCTAGTTGGTATCCTCGAAACCTTCTAGAGGTCAGGTCGGAGGTTCGAATTCCGGCGTAAGCGAGCTTTTCTTGCAAAGTGAGTTTTTCTCTCGCTTCCGCTCCTGGCCTAGTGGATAGCGCTAGTTGGTGCGTACACAGAGGGAAGAGAACTCTTCTCGCATCAAAAATCGAAGGCAACGTACGGCAGGAGGGGAGGGTAGAGGGGCCCTTCTGTGTGACCACGGGTTGGAGCAAACGGCACAAGTGCTGTGAGCGCTGATTTGAAGTGAAGACAAAAAAAAAAAAAAAGGTAAGAGTTTAGAAAGGTAACGGATTTTTGTCGATAACCATGGATGGATGCTTGTCCCACTTCTCGGCACCTCTTCTTCTCTTGTCCATCGACACGCACCTTAGAAACAACAACAAACCGGCATTGATAAGATGAACTTGATGGGGCATTATCGGCTTACTCGTTTCGAGAACTGATGGGAACAACTCTCGCACGGCACACGGCCGTGCGGCACCTTCTTTGGGCTTAACGTTTTCGAAGGCCGGGCGACAAATCGCCTTTGTTTTCCGCGCGTTGGTAGGTACCGCGTCTTCCTGTCTCGCTCCTGCCCCTTGTGCCATTATCTCCTCCGCATGCCCCCCTCGTTGTTTGCCTTCTTGCTCACGTATCCCTGCCGTAACATGTTGCCTCCAACGGCGCCATTGCTAACGGTTTGATGTCGTTACCGCCTCCCCCGCGCCCGCCATGCGCGGTGTAACTAAACTGTAACTTGCGTGCGCTGTCGACGTAGCCGAGGGCGCTGGGTTTCTACCGCGGGCAGGCGTACCGCGCCGCGTCGTGCGGGGTAAGCGTGGACGTCCACTGCTTCGCCAACAAGACGTGCGGGCACTTCGGGCTCTCTTCGATGGCGCCGTTGGCGATGACCACAGGGGGAGGCGTGTACAGGTAGGGTCCTTGTGTCGAGGAGAGTAGACGAAACCAGGGACAAGTCTGGGCACGTCCCTTCGAGGAATTTGACTGGGTGCGTCTTGGTTGGCAGGGTGTTTGGGCGGGCGGCGCGGGCGAAGTGCCCATACCCGAGAGTGCGCATATTCTGCGTGCATTAGCAATCTCTTCTTGTTTGTACATTGGCCCCGGATCCCCTCGGTCACAGTGTGTGTGCATACCTCGTTGCTCACTCGCCGTACCCCGCCCTTGTCATGGAACGCTCGCCGTGTGTATGTGCAGACACTCGCTGCTCCACCAGAGGGAGGGCGAGAATCGCGCGGTGACGGTGGCAAGGGAGGTGTGCGCGGAGCTCCTGCAGCCGAGGGTCTACGACGGCCTCTTGCGGTGAGCGAAGCGGCCAAAAAACGCGATCGTGCGCTCGCCGAGCTGGCTGGCTTCGTCTTCACTAGCACCCATGCCTCTAGAGTGGAAGAACGTAGCGGCAGATTACGGCCGAGCGAAATGAATCTGCCGTGACACTATTTAGCGTCCCCGACACTGTGTCGAGGTAGAAGGTGTGTGGAGATCACCCGCTGCGCGCTTTCTGCAGCTGGTGTGTCTTAATAACCACCGTCTCGTCATAAGCGTTACAGACCCCCCCCACCCCAGCTAACCACTAAGGCATGCAAAACATAAGAGTACGCCTCCCCCCCCGTTGCGCCTTTCAAGCCAGCCAACGCTCCGCCTTCTCTACCGCCCGGTGGCACCGCCGCGCTTTCACTTTTTCCCGCACCCGCTCTACTGTGTGGTATTTTTGTTTCGTTTGATCGTACCGCGGTATCATTCATGCGGTCGATGCTGGGTGCGCACATCCGCACTACTCCGTATTTTTCGTTTCATCATATGCATGCACCGCAATTCCATCCATGCGGTCGGTGATGCAGGGTGCGCACCTCGGCGGAGTTCAACGTGAACAGGGACGGCGTGTACGGTAACCTCACTGCCGACCCGCGGCTGGAGAGCCTGTGGCACGTGGCCTCCTGCTACTCCGGGCAGTCGTTCGCCATGGACTTCGAATTCAGGGGGGCGGGAGGCGGAGCTGAGCTACAGTGGGACGAGGACGAAGACGCTAGTGCCACTGTACAGGTCGGTGTGAAACAGAGATGAAGTTTTATCTACACCGAAAAGGGGAGAGACTGCTCGGCGTATTCTCTAGCCGTAACTCTTCTGCAGAAAGTATCTGGTCCGTTTGTAAACGGTGGGTGGTGGGCGTGGCCCGTGATCCTCTTACTGGCAGGTTGTGTTCTCCCACCCCAAGTCCTCGATAACCGCGCACGCTTGACTCTCCTCGTCCTCGTGCAACAACCGTGCCCAGAGCGTGCACCCTGTATCCCTCGCCCCCGTCGCAGCGGCACAGCGTGCTTGGAGGCACTCTCAGCTCACTGCTCTATCTAATCGCCACGGACTTTCCCAGAATAGTTTTTTCTTCAGTTGTTCTTTTTCTCCCCCTACGCCTCCTTCGAGGTCATGGTCTAACGACCACGGCATGCCTTTTCATGAGTACGCCCCCCCCCCCCCCCCCCCCCCCCCCCCCCCCCCCCCCCCCCCCCCCCCCCCCCCCCCCCCCCCC